ATTCGTCCCGAAGTTTTCGTCCGCGCGAAATTACCGTAATGACGGCGGAGGATGCGTAATGATACGTCGTACGTCGGCCGCTCTTGTGTCATTAACCTCGTTCCGCCCGTTTCATCACGGCCACCGGTCGCAGCGCGGAAAAAAGAAGAATCACGACGTTAATAAATTCGAATTACGTGTTTACTTTTAGACCGCGTCCGCTGCGGACGTGGGCGACCCTAAATTGCTTCCTAAAACGTTCCTTGAAAGCGGGCTTCCCTTCCACGACTCCCGAGCTGAGTATAAAACCACAGAACTCCGCTGACTACTCGCTCACGAAGTCAAGACGAACGATCTCTTTTTAATTGTCCCTCCTTGGGTGAAAATGGAGTTCCGATTGTCCAGCTTGGCGTCAATGTAGCGTGGTCAGCAGTCGACGATAACTTTTCTCGAAGAAAGCAGGCGATTCGTTGCAAGCCGCAGGGTCCACTTTCTCGCGGAATTCTTGGTCCGTTTCGAGAGGGCTCATTGGATTCCAGTTAGCGGCGCGGGCAATCGGACCGTTCTAACGAGCCCTAGGCTGTACGGATCGTTCATGAAACGTCGAGTCGAAGAATCTCTCGAGGATCGAGCGGGAGAACGAGAGATCTCGACGACAACGCGGTCTCAGCGGACAACCATTGAAGGCTCGCTTATTGTGACAGAATCAAGACCCCGGAAGGACAGGGAGGCACGAGATGACTGAGCGAGAGAGTTCACCGCGCCCTAGGGCGGGTTATAAGCCGAAAACAATGGTGACGGAGTTTCTTGCACCCTCCATGCGTCAAGCTGTACATCCTGTAAGGCGCTTACCGCAGCACTCGACGATTGTTACACACGGAGAAGCAGGACGGTTAACTTGATCCCGATTCCCAGCGCCGCGACTCGATATACGAATCCGCTGCGATCGCGTTTTAACGGGGGACGCGTTAAATACCATGTCTATCTTTGAATTTATCGCGCCGGATAACCGAGGGAGCCCTGCGGAGTGCTATTGATTTCGGAGTAAGACGACTCAGAGCCGAAGATTAACGGAACGTTGAGGAACGTGCACCCCTTTTGATGACACGAGGCGTTGTTGCTATGGAGGTCAACTTGGCCAAGTATTGAGTACCTCCACAGCTGATAGAGGTTGTGATTCTGAAGATAAGTCTCGTTGAGACAAAGTACTGTCTCCATAAATGCACTCGTCCAGTCCCGAATTTGTGCATTTATGGAGCCCTCGCTGTATCCCGTCGGTAGAATTCTGCAGACTACTGAACCACTCGCAGACGGTAATCGCGTAGCCAACAGTGCGGATATCATCCCGCTGCGAGCTCTTCGACGAAAATCACGGGCCACTTTAGCCAATCCTCGAGCAGTTCTCGCGCAGCACGTGCTGCCCGCGGAAGCGGCGCATCCCAAAACCGAGCACAATGAACGCCGATGTCTCGACGGCAGGCGACGAAGGTTCCAGAAGGCTCGTCGCCGCGGCAAATTACGTATTTCGCGCTAATTACGCGAGAAGCTGTGTCTCGCCCCCGTCGGCGGAACCGTTCATGTTTATTCAGACGGTTTCAGTTGTCAGGCCGGGATTTCATTCCAAAAGCCAGCCGGCGAGATTATAAAGTCAAACCTCGCGAAGTCTCGGGCCAGCGGCGAGGCGTCGCGACGCTGGGAGGCAACGTCGAATTTCAGCCACGATACAGGTAGACGGGGGAGGAAGAAGCGCATGACGCGACGAGTTTGGAATTCGTGGCGCGTAAGCAGCAGCCGGTAATTAATAGCCACGCCGGCGAGAGTTTGATTACCTTTTCGACCTTATCTGTAAGGTGTCCCGAACCCCATCCCCTCCGTTTCCCGAGCGTTCTTCTAGCGAGCGCGCAATTTCGCCCGTTTCCGTCGGCGGGCCGCCGGTGCGCGCGCCAAGAAATTAGCTAAGAAACTCCGGGATCGAAGCTGGGGAACCAGTCGAGACAATGGACCTCGGAGGTTTTGTTAATCCTGTCTGGGAAACTCATGGAATCCACTTACTGTCTAGCTTCTTCCTAGCTTCCTCGAGAAACCCTCCGACGAACGTACGCTCGACGATGACCCGGCCGCTTTTTCTTCGCCAACTGTAGTCGAGGATGTTGCGTTGAATCCTGCCCGGGATGTAAACTTCCTGTTCTTGGTGCAAGTTATGGGAGGGTTTAGATAACCATTCCGGTGGTCAGGAATCACCGAAAGTTTCCCCCCGGTAACGTCGTTTAATTGTTTAGCTATTAGGCAGCTAGTTTGTACTCGGTTACCCTCTAGAATTCCTTCGCTGTAAACGATGCTTCGCCGAATCTTGGTCCAAACCGATGACGATGGTTGACAATGAGCATGTTTGCGGGTGCAGCTCGGCTAGATCCGCGCAACTTGGCTTTCTCTCGAAGCTTGCGTTCCTGCTAAGACCGCAGCAGTCTTTCTCGAGGGTCCGAGTTAAGGCAATAACCAATCTTTGGACAGCGTTAACTCGAAATTAATTGACCCCAATCGACCAGGCGGAGCGGTCGCAGGCGGCCGGTCGGTTCGCAACATGATTTGTCCGACACATCTGCCGAATCGAGTGGTCGAAGTTATGTCGCAGACCAAACCGTGGCCCCTTTATCGAGTCAGACGTGGATAAAAAGAGAAGAGGACACCCGGATGCGACTCACCAGGAAGATGCGACTCTAACCAGTCGTTTTTCTAACGACAAATCCGGAAATTCCCCAGGCGCAATTGGATTAGACGTGTAATTAGACGTTCCTCCTATCTGGAGGAACCGCTTCCAGGGCTATTACTTGGTCAGATAAGTTTGCAAACAGGAGTGTAGTTGATCAAGAATGTCTTAAAAAGACCAAAGACTAAACCTGCATGCGACCTCTAATCCAGGTCTGCCAACCCAGACAGTCATCAGTCCATGCAATCTTCAGCATTCCCATTAATTGCCACTCCCAATTTGATTTTTCCCTCAGCTACCCTATCCAACCGACATTTCCCAGGCCACCGAGCGCAAGTGCTTCTACTTCTTGCTTCCTCTGCGAAGGCTGCAGTACCTGGCCCCAACGGACGGCAACAATTTCCGAACAAGAAACTTCGGGAACTTTCTTCGCGATTCCGGAGCCGCCATTAGCAGCCAAAGGGTGAAAAACCTCGACTCGACGTCGAAAAACCCTCGACACCGTTTCACCAGATTGAAAGCGGACGCGTGCAATCTTCATCGCGCGCTCTCGACGCGTTCAACCGTACTTGCACACACACACACAAACACACGCACACACACACACACACGCGCCACGGGGATACCCACGGGACGCACGTGGTCAGGCAGTGGCGGCGTCTCCCGAGGACAACTGAAAAATTCCTGCGGCTCCAGCCCTCCACCGATCTTTGAACGGCCCGGCAGGCCTAGGACGAAGACCCAGTTATCGAGGAAAGCTAAGTAGTTGAACTTTATGAAAGAAGGAACTTCATTTTGCGTCTTTAACTAGTGGTAAGGGGATAACGTGGCGGCACCTAGATCTAGAGGTCCCTCCACTCGCCACTAGAGGAGAACCGACCGCCATAGGACAATGATCGACCCATCGCTCGGGCTGTAACCTTACACTGACGGGTTCGCCCGGTTCTCTTTTGACAAATATGCTGGATCGTCCCACAGTCTGCCTCGTCCGTAATGTAATTCGAGATCGTAACTACTCGCGGGAAGATTATATTATGACCGTGCCCGGGGAAAAGACTGCCCCGACGACACCAGAGAATTCCTGCCCCTCCTCCGATCATTACTCACGCTATGATTCATTAGAGGGTCCCTGGGAAATTAAGCGACCCGTTACGCCCGCTTCGCGTGATTTTTGACGCGTCAGATTGGTCCCCGTTGTTTAGAGGCTGGACAATTCGCCGAGGGCAACAAAATTGTCGAGTCGCTGAGCCTAGCAGTTTTTGCGAAACTGGCCGTGTGTCAGGTGCCTACCCTGGGAACCAGTCAGCACTGTTGAACGTGCTCCAAATCTATCCTACATGGATTAAGACCTAGGGGTATTTGGTATCAGCATGCATGGGAGTAACGACTCCTTGGCAAGATGGAACCGCTTCCCTATGACTCGGATGAGAGGTTCGCTTGAAGAGAAGAAAGGGAGATAGGAAACCCAACACCTAGGAGAGCGAATACCGTTTGCATAATTCATTTCGAATTGTCCTCGTATCAACGCTGATCAATCTTCCGTGCCTATCTCCCCAGCACCCGAAGGATATAAAATAACGATTCCTAGCAGGAAATCATAACGGTGACAACCGAGTGAATGACAGTCGTTGAACAGATTGGACCCAACGAGTTAGATATCAGCAAACATGCCGTAGGTAACCAGAACCAGGGGGTACCCAGTGCGACAGGAAATCGTGACGCAACGTCTCCCTGCACCTCGGAATCGGCTGTAAACATATCCCCTCCCTGCCTCGGACGAAGACAACGCGCAACGTCGAAGATTTTCGATAACACTTCCTGGGCGCTGGCTGGTAATAAAGCCAACCAGGCGGAAGAACGTAATCCCGAGTGTCTATAAAGCTACGAAGGTACGGGAGAAAATATCCCGGCTGGAGAAACGCGGATCGAGGGGCGCGGCCCAGCGTTAATAATCATGCATAGCGTCGAGTGTTGCAACTACCGGCTGCATCGCTCGTGCACTTGTCCTGCCCGCTCGCGCTTATGAAAAACGGACAATCGAATTACCGGGCGTTCATATGGAAATGTAGCGCCGTGGGAGAGAGCGACAGACGACGAAAAATTTGATCGCACCCAGCCACGCGCGTTGCTATTGTCGCTGGCCGCTCTCGGGTCGTGTATCGCGTTGTTCGGTGTGACAAAGATTCGCCTAGATTCGAGACAATTAAAACTCGATGACAACCACCGAATCCCATTTTGGAACGGTGTGACTTTTTCGCCGTGTCTAAATTTTAAGAGAAAGCGGCTGAATTAATTATCGGACATACCAAAACCTGGACTGGTTCGTGTAAGTAGGATGTGAGCTGAACTTACCTGAAACAAAAAATAAAACATAGGTTAGAATAAGGAAACGTTGAAGATGCGAATGCTTAAGTGGCGAGGAGTTGAACGAGGATTGACTGGCCACCAAGGGCATATCATCCATGATAAGGCATGACTATCTCTGCTACATTCCTCGACTAGGTACTTCCACTACAATACCAGGATCCCTATAGCCAAACGAATCCTCAGCGAAAGGGGTTTGCGCTGTCGGTGACAGGCAGAACGATCAAAATCGAGCACAAAATTTCAATCCTGTTCACCCTTTTTTCCCCCCCCTCATCCTGCACCCGTTACCGGAGGCGATGTAATTTCCCGCCACGGCGTTCCGTCCTCCTTATCTCCAACTTTAATTACTTCGTTTTATTCCGAAAGGAGGGTTCCATAATGAGAAGCTCGGCGCCCTTCTGTCATAGCCGTTCATCGAGGCAGGTCGCCGGGGCGGTTTCCGTGTTCAAAGTCTGCTGTCGATTCCCCACCAGGGAACCATAGGTCCCTGACAAAGGCCATCGTCCAGTTTTAATTAGCCTGAAACGCGGCGATCCACTTATCGAAAAAGCCGAAACGCCTTGTCCAGGCTCGGATCACCGGTCCGGTCATTTGCGGGAGCGTCTTTCTTCGCTTTTATTAATCCCCCACCTGCTCCTCCGACAACCCCGGCCCACCTATCCGTTGGGGTTTGTCGTTTCGCTCCTCCAATATCGCGTTATTGCACTCCACCGCCTGCAGTGTCGCTATAACGGGCACCGGAGTGTAGGTGGTTGCTCATCTGGCTCCTCCCTGTTCGATTTATTTCCCTTTCTCGCGCTGGCCCCGGCTCCTACGTTCGTGCTGCTTTATTTCCACCTGCTCGCAGTGTCCACAATACGCAGCAATAACCGAGAAATCGACGGTTAGCTCGATACCAACCGGTGTCCGCCCACTAAGAGCCGCGACAAAGCCCTCCGGGCCTCGACGACTCTTTGTCCTGAGGTCACCATTTCGTGGCTTTTCCCCGCCGGGTCTCGCACGCACGGCCCACGAGGCTCTCGGTCTCAATCCTATCGCACGATCTAAACCAAACACCGTTCGTTGCGGGACCCTGCCGCTGAAAATGGAGAGCCTTTCTCCGCTCGCGTAGAGACCCCGTGCTTTCTTTTTCAGGTGGCGTTGCATCGCTGTGCACGCTCAGCCGTCGAGACAACGTCCGGAACCGTCGCGTTTAGGGCGACATTCCGACACGTCCACGCTTCTGATTTGGATGGAACTTGAATCGAATAGCGATAGAGACATATTTCTATCGTGGGTGCCACTGAATGCGGATTCTCAACCTAAAGACCCAAAAATCCTAATAGGTCACCAGCTTTGCTCGGTATTTCGGGACCGTACGCCAGCCCCCTCCGTTCTAGCGGTTTCTTACTCCTCTCCGTTCCCCTTTGCCTCTCGTGGGTTCCTCGAGACAATTTAGATCCTTTTTAAACGGTCCGCAGGCTGAATGTACGCCAGCCACGCACACACGTCGACGCGCCCCGCGTCCACTGGCACACGGACAAAGAGGTACGTGACGCGGCTGGATACGCACAATCAGCCCGCAGTGATTGAGGCATTCAACGCGTGGGCACGCACTCTTACGCGCTCTTACGCACGCTTACGGCCACTGTCGAATTCTCACGCTCTCCTCGGATCTATTTCTGACGCTTCGAATAAAATAGAAGTGGAACCCGTCGTCGGTTAGCCATCCTTCTCGAGCATCAGCTCTCGAGGTTACTGCGGGGCCTATGTTTTCGCTCCTCCTTTTCTCCTCTCGCTTGGAACTCTTTTGGACTGAGAGTTTCAGCGCGTGGCCCTTAGGCGGAACGCAGGAATTCGATTAGCCGAACCAGATCGAATGTTAAATATTGAACGCGTCTTTGCGTCCCCGGTTCCTCAGAGCGTCCTAATATGTCTGCTGTTTGATTACGGTTCGTGAGCCAACTTCGAGCTGGTCTTGACGGCGCTGCGTGGGTTTTATGACTGTTTGCTCTTGGTGTTAATTGTAACAGTAGAAAATAGATTTTTCAATTTTAGTGGGAAGCTATTTGCTACGAGGGATACGATGGAACTCCAAGGCCTGATTGCACTCAGGAATTATCGCGGCCACGCATGATTAATCGAAAAAATTGCAAAGTAATCACGCTCGGATCGTCGACCTAACCGAGTGGAAGCCCGTAACGCGGTCGAAAAATATGGAACAATGACTGATTGCTGCTCACTTATGCAAACGTATTCCCATTCCAGTTTAAAATCAAACGAGCAATTGTACCGCAATAATACCGACTTTCTTCCCTTTCACCTTTGATTTTCTTCCTGGAACGAACTATAGGCTCCATTTGTCTCATTGAGAGAAATTGACGCGTAATTTGCTGTCCAATCTATCGGCTGTGTCGCGCGACGACGAACCATGCGTGGCGCGCGAGCGCTGAACCGATCGATACGCGCGCTACCATTGCTAAATGATTAGGGAAGAGCTGACGAAACTGGATCACGTGACCGCTACCTTCGACAGCAAGAGTTAGTCGAGCAATGGTTATCGGGGCAGTCCTCCGAGATTTTGGGGTGCACCTAACCCAACATCCCTACCATATCTCAGTTTGTAGGTAACGAAGAGTAAACTCTACCGGTCCGTCGACGGTGAACTGCGGAGATACGTAGGTCGCGGGTTAAGTTCATTGAGATTTGGATTCCTTCAGGAGGTCGCTTGGGACAGGTGTTTGCTTCCGCTGGCAGAAACGAGTTGGGAATCTTTGCGAGTAATGTCTTCCTACGTCACCGAGTCCGGGATATCTTGAAACATCATCCTCGTGCCCCAGAATGTACAGTGCTTGAAAACTAGAAGAATACCGTCATGGTCTATCGAGGATGAACCGAGTCCTTCGATATTTTGAGTCTCGATCCCTCCGAACGCAACCACCCTCGCTCTATTGCGAGTGCAAAATTCTGGCGCGAATGGACTCCAGAAACTGGAGTTCCGGCTAATAGAATCGGCTGCTTTTAGGGACGCCGAGTCTAATTCTCAAACAGCAACTTTAGAGGAACACGAGAAAACTGTTTGCCAGCTCCTCGTTATACGCACTAACGATACACACGTACGCCAGTCTGCGGAGGGGTCGGTTCACGAACGAGCTCGTACGCGATAACGATTAAGGGCGCCCGAGCATAAGGGGAAATTATCGTGGAAGTACTTTTGTTACGGGGAATAATTACAAGAAATAATAGGAGCGGTAATATTTGTCCACGCAGCCGCGCGAACATCCTCGTACTCGCATTTGGGGAATATTCTGTTAACGAAGTTAGGCTTCCGGTGAAGAATATCAACGAACGAAAGCGTTCGGTTCAGCCCCTTGCGTCCTAGCCCAAGCTATTTCGGTTTCGCCGACGATTAAGACATCCCGATGCGAAACTATGGCGCCCTTTTTCCCGCCGGCCCGCATAATAACAATATTCCTGCATACTTGATTCGCGTGCGTGGCTGGCGACGATAGCACTGACACGTGCGTGCGAGCTACGCCCAAGAAAGATGGTGGAAATAAGGAAGTCGTATAATCCACGGGGGGGACGCGGCACTGCTGGAAAGGACGATCTAATTTATTTTTGAAATCGGGGAAGGTATTAACGTTCTTCGCGCCATGCATACACGTTCAGATAGCCTCGCGCCGTCGCATACATTAGCCACTTTTATCCGATACGCGGTAAAATGGTTCCCGTGTACCTTTATCGACGGTGTACTTCAGCCCCCGTACAATTGATACACGCGTCCGCAGGAACTTGGGGGATTAGTATCCGCCATTAATCCGAAGCGACATACTTTTCCATGAGGGGGGGGGGGGGGGAGAGTTCAAAGGGCCTCGTCAGAGATCACCGGGTGACTGCGATTAAAATTCCGCTGCTACGTGGCGAGCAGGTGGATTTCCAACACGTTTCATGGCGTCTATGTTTCCGCTGTGAACTACGGAGATCAGCTTTTGTCGGAATCGAGCGGTGATCTAACGTCAGCCGCGGAATCCTCCCGGGATGTCTAGTGCCCGAAGGGCTCGAAGGGCGTGTTAACCTGAGTCGTCATCCTTCTCGCGTAAGCCCGGAGACACGGAGCTCGCAAAGTCCAAGAGAGGCTGGCGCTTCCCGGTAAGCAATAGTCTCGCCTCCCTCCCCTGCTTCTCTATCTGTCGGGCACTCAGACAGGGCAAGAGTGCTTCGGGATCCCTCGTTTTCCTCCCCAGGCTGTCCCTCCGCGGTCGATTCGTACAGTGTATCCCCGCGTGCTTCAATTACGAGAAGGAATGCTCATTTGGTGCGCAACGGGGGACCCCCGTAATGGTCAGCGACCACTCGAAACTATTATCGAGCGGTGCCAAAGGACGGCGAATCCGTACGCGCAATGGCGGTCTCTCCCCGAATTTTTAATCCGACTTCGCCCCGACTGGCAATCTCACGGAAAGCACTTTCCCCGGCTCGACCAACGGCGGCGGCGTCTCCACTCGTCGCCCGTAGACGACCACGGGCTTGCATTTCTTATCACGGTGATGGTGCGCGCCACTGGAGTGGAAACACCAATCGAGCGATGGAGATTGCGACGCTAACCTCCGAGAAAAGCCTTTTCTACTAGAAGCCTCCCTCTGCACCTCCGTCTCTGTCCCCTCACCCTTAGCCGGTGCCACTGTCTCTGTCTTCATATTCGACGCTGAGATCCCCAATCTTGCATATTCGATGCGTCGCTTCTGAGAGATTAGATTCTGTCCTTTCTCTTCCGGCTTCCCGACCGCTTTTACCCGGTTCCGGGCTTGTAACGGGCTATCGAGCTATCGAGACACCCTCGAGCTTGCCCCTGATAGCTGCGGTCACCGCCACGGGGGTGGAAAGTGATTAACGGATACGCGCCCGTGACTTTGCAAACAATCCGGATTTCAGCGTCTCTTTGCCGCGCTAGGGTTCTCCAGACAGGATACGTTACACTTTGGAAAGCGCCGAGCAACTGCTCT